TTATTGTTTACAGGCTCTCTATAATTGGTCTACATCCTCTTTATGATCCATACAGTCATATGGTGTTACTGCCCACCCCAACTTACTACTCATTTTATTACCATACTACAGAACTGTCATGAGATGAAGAACTGCAGCCTTACCTGTGCAATGAGCCAGTCTATCAGCTTGTTGGCCATCACCACAGATTTGTATGTTCTTAAATGGTAGTCTTTATCCCTGAATTGACACAGAAAAAAAAAAAGTTACTTAAACGGATTAGGAACTTAAGGGAAGTTATTCTAACATGACCTCTGACCTGTAGGGTTGAGCGTTAGCCTCTTGATAAGGCTCTTGAGAGAAATGAACTTGCCGTTCACGTCACAACCACCATTTCCTCACCATCCATCAGCAAGCTCATCCTGACTTCTCCCCTGGTAGACCAGGCTTTTTCCACTGACCCAGAAACAGTTTCTCTGCTCAAATCCTAATTATAAACATTATAAAGAGGTTTCGGAATGGCTTATATGCTTTTATGTATATCTGTATGATCATTTCCTAAAGCATTTGATCAACTTTAAGTGGTACATGTGAAAGATCAATGCATTCTGGCTTAAATAAACCCTTGTTATTGCCAAAAATGTGCTCTTCTTTGAAGTGTACTCAATATTTGCATGCTTAAAGCAACAGTGCATTTTTCCTCTTTCCATCTACTGATTTCCTCTTTGATCTACTCCAGTCTTTTCTGAGAATTATAGGTCTTTAAAGAGGCAGTCAACTTTTAACCTGTTCCTCCTTTTAAACTGTTAATCTGTTCCTGCTTTTAAGTATAACTTCCTATATAAACAGCCAAAAAAGAACAATACTGGTCATTTCGATCGGGAGATTCATGTTCTTTTGTGTTTCCTTGGTCAGATTTGAGTGGGGTGGGACTTCACTGGAAGAGGCTGATATCACGCAATCTCTTGGACCAATGAGATTTATCATCAGTGGGTGATATGGCAAAATATCACGATACCTCAGGACATATTTTATGATACACAATGTGTCGTGTTGACATGATAATTTGTTTCCTGACATCTGATAAGTTAACAAACAAAGTAGTGCAACATTTAAAAAATACAAAAAAAATATGAATCCATTTTCTTACATTCAACATTTCACACACTGTGCTGCACTAAATCCAATTAAACATGACCAATTATGCTCTCGTTTTAACGAAATATGCCATTTGGATATGATTTTTAAGCACTGATGATATCCACGATATACTCAGAAAAGCATATGGGGGACACAGTGATGTAACTGTGCGATAACAATTCTACTGTCAAGCATGGCTTTAATAAAAATGTTTACTCTAAGAAATATCAGCTGCACAACTACACACAAGAGATATTTGGCTTTAGATAGCAGCTTGTTGATGGAGCTGTCCCTCCTCTCCCACTCTCGATCGGGACGATGTCTGAGCTGCCAGGACAGAGTGTACAAGTGCATTCTGCATAGTTTACTGACTAGACTAACTTAATCAACAAATGCTCACGTTGTTTGTAAGATTTGTTGCTTGTCATAGCCATCAAGCAACTGTACTACACTTAGCAAATGCTAACAGTGGGCCTCATTCGCCAATATCTTCCTAAATGTTTTCTTAAATGTGTTCTTGAAAAAGGTCCTAACAAAAAGTCTACGTCAGATTTATGATGTGTGCTTAAACCACAGAATTGTTTGCACCTCTTTAGTGTGTGTAGATTCTGTCCTTACTTAAGAACAATTCCCAAAATAAGAGAACATTGGTGAATGTCAGAATCTTCGTCAAAGCTGTGTAAGTTGGTTTTAAACAGAAATTCCGGTCTCACTTTATTTGGATAGTCCACTATAGTCCACTATAGATTATCTACAGATGTTCAAACTGTTAACAAACTATCTGTTGACACTCAGTTGATTCTAAACAGTGGTGGGGTTAGGGTCAGGATTTGGACCTGGGTTAGGGCTAGGTGAGGGTTGGGTTAAGGTTTTGGGTTGAGGTTAAGGTTAGGGTTAGGATTAGAGGTTTAGCAGCTACCTAGCCACTCCAGCTTGAATGTAAGTTTGCCTCCATAATCTAATATCTCAGAGAGTCAAAGTCAGACCTCTGCCAGAAAATAAAAGCTTAAGAAACACAGTAAAAAGACTACTGCCCCTTATCTCAAATACAGCAGCTCAGCCAAGACGTGTCTGTAGTCTAAAGTTTGCCTCTGGAGCTAGGAGGCTAATGTAGCTAAGAAGTAATGGAAACTTATAACCACCAATAAGAACTGCACAGACTGCACGCCTCAGGCACCAAATTTGGCTGATCTACTACATTTAGGATAAGTGTAAAACTGTACAATTGTGCCAAACTATCACTTTAAAATAAGCTACCATCACTTGGAAAGTGCTTCTTGGGCCATGAATGGATTTTTTTTATTTAATGCACTGTGAAACCCAAACACATCCTGTGAAGTTTTGCCACTGCTTCAGTCAGCTGTGAAAACACTAAAAAAAACCTGAAAACTGACGTGAAATTAAAAAAAGAGTTAAAAGAGCAGCTCAGAACAACAACACCAATGTTCTACAAGCACTAAATAGCTCCAGTACTACTCTTGCTTTTGGCTGCTTCCCAACATGATTTGTGTGTCTTTAAACACCTATTAACCCCTTAAATTCCCAGACGTTTTAAATGCAAATTGCAAACTGTCTTAACAACTGAGTAATTCTTAAGTGAAGAATGGAAGCCTGGCTGGCAGGTCCTGTTTATTTAAGGAGTAAATGAAAAGAGCTCTGCACTGGAGCTAAAGTTGATTACAGTGTCTCAGACTGATTCCAGGTCAGCCTGAAAGCTATCTTTCTCCAGTGGAGGTCAAAAGGTCTATCTCGGGCCAGCGGCCACGTGGCTGCAGGGTTCAGATGAAATGCTTTTGCGGCTGCAGTCAGACCCTGCGAATTCTCTCTGAAATGAAGTGGAGATTTTCCCATGAAGCCGGAGGTCTCCTGAGGGACACTCACTGCACCAGGCCAGAGCCTGTCCACTGCACACACACATGGTCACACTGAAACATAACCAAACCCAGACAAGTCCAATCTTAGCCATTCACAGTCATTAGAACATGGGGGTGGATACAAATATGTCCCCTCCAGAACAAAAATAGCATGGTCTGTACCTACAGCAGAAGGAAACTTCGTTCTAACAAAGAAATTTGGCTAAAACACAACACCGGAAATACATCTACCATGACATACTAAACATGGTACTTTAACATAAAACCTTAAAACGTCCAGTTTAGAATGAAATTATACCAAGTTATGTGCTATTTAGCTAACTGATAGAAGGCAGAATGGAAACAATAGTGATATAAAATTTGCCACCATGCTAACATTATTAAATTGTCATATAATTGTGCACTCGAAATGTAGATATTTTGACAAAAACTAAGTTAAAATTGTGTTTTCTAAAGCCTGTTTGACCTCACAACAGTGGCTACCAAAGAACACATCTGTGCACAGAGCTTGGACAGGTCAATTAGCACATATGCAGTAAGGAACATAGGACTTATTTTCACTAAGAAAGATCTCAAGAACAGAAAAAATGTTCATATTATCTCCAAAAGAAGTAACTTTCTTAACTTTTACTGTAACTAAATGGATCAAAATCTTATTCTAAGCTCATTCTGGAGCATGCTGTTGGTCCGGTCACCCTGAAATGCTGTCACAGTGTAAAGGGCAGCTCTTATTCTCAAATTATGTTAAAAAAATAAAAAAACGACAAAAGTGATCAGGCCTGGCTAGCTTCTAAAAAGATCCATAAGCATATAGTACCAGTCAAGGAGAAAAAGTCATAAATATCACTGAGGGTTTGACCAGCAGCCAGATCCACTTAGTGATCGTTATCTGTTGGGCTAAAAATCCGCTGAAGGGTCAGGGTGACCTTTAGTGGCCGCTGGTTCTGCAGATTGCAGCGTGCTTGTGCCAGGCATACGGCTTCCCGCTGCACTGCTGCCTAAACCTCATTTATCACAATGACAGGTTTGGACCCGAGCAATTTTGGTGGTTAGTGTGGCACAGTGCAACATAACCAGCTCTGGACCTCCAGAGACGCTTCGAGAGCAACCACGAAAATAAAACATCTTTCTATAGCACAACTGAAAACTTCATACTTTACTCAGTATTGAGGTGTAAAAACACATCATCACAACATGAGTGTGGATAAGCCTGAAGGTGGTGATTCGGCTGCATTGACTTTGCAATGTAAGAATCACTTATTATGAAAAATCTTACTAAACTATGAACACAATTTTAACCTAAATAAAATGCTCATGCACTAATGGACTTAATATGACAATGGGTCAAAACCTTTTGTTATGCACTAGGGACCCCAAATGTCACACTAGGAGTTACTGCTGTATATTTGGGGTAAAGCCCAAATATGAGGTCAGATGAGTTGTAAAAATACAAAGATATAATATTTTCATGGTTTCCCACAGGCATCTATAGCTAATTTCCAGAACAACACCACCAAAATGATGGAAAACACCTTGTTTTTTAAATATATTAAGCATTTACAGCACGTGTGGCAGTTTGTGTGCTGAGCTATTAACATGTAAGTGGCTTTTGTGTGCATTATTTAAAAAGAAAGATCTCACAAAGGTACATTGTTTGTGGCAACAACTTTCAAAACAAAATAAAGCAGCTATGAGAAGATCTTGAATTACTCAGTATTACATTATTTAACATGTGATTTAGATTTAGCATACAGCTATAAATAGCATAAGAAGCAGGTAAAAGCTGCAGGTATACATTGTGCATTATCAATCTTTTTTTAACAAGGAAACAATGCTAATTATTGCTAATTACTAGATCAGAGGCTTACACTCCTATCAGCAGTGGTAAAACAATCTTCAGCCTTGTGGATCTTACTGGGAAATCTCTGTAAAGCAGAGTCTGATTAGCCAGACTAGAACACTTAAAGACTCCGCTAACTCTATTAGCAGTTTTTTGAGTGAGAGGAATTTAATTTACTGTGGCCAGCACCGTTGCCAAACTCTCCAACGTGCACCTGTTCCACATTTAAGACACGTTTCTGGTGCACATCTGATACTGGTCGCTTTTACCGCAATACAACAGTTTTACTATCTGATGCTAATGCTAGCTGCCAGTGAAAGAGAAGCACTGATAACTTACAGGCGTTAAGCTTTTGCTTAATTGCCCTTACATTTCGTCCAACTGCTCTGCCGCTTTTCTGCTGAAACACAGTTTGGGGTGTCTCGCAACACATGGTGAGTCCAAGCAGGCCCAGGACGCCAAAACTGGCCCAAAAACAGTGGCCAAATGACTGGAAAACAGCAGTACGCTAACCATCTGTTCTTAACCAGGCCAAATGCCACTCTGGCTATTCATCTTGGCCCCCTGAAAGGCCTTCTCTCGCACAGGAAGCATGTCTTTGTCCCTGGTGAGGAACAGGCTCAAACGGTCAGTAAACATCACATAATTCAGTCTAAAAGGGAACCACACAGCATTCTGTTTCAAAGTGATAATTCTACAGGAAAATCAAATTAGCATAATTACTCTAAATGTAGCTGATCAGCCAAGAGATGTTTACTGTCTGACATTTGCTTCTTTAGTGTTCCACTAAAGCTCCAAGCCTAATGCAGCTAAAAGGTAAAGGAGGCATACACTAATTAGCATTGCGCATACTCGCCTCAAACTGTGTTGGTTTGCTTATGTGGTTTCTGACACTGTATGATATTTATATCTATATCTGTATCTGTATCTGTATCTATAAGCATAGTCAAAAGTACAGACAAAATTCAGGCTTCAAGGTGGCTGCTACTGCTGTTTTTAACTATGTAACAAACTTTTGCCCATATTTTACACAAAACAATTGCACTGTAATAAGTAATTGTTACTTGTTAGCTACATTAGCCTCTTGTTTCCATGCACAACTATGGAAGCAAACTTCAGAAAACACTCACTACTCCTTTAAAGCTCCAAATAGCTATACAGCACATACTGCACGACAAGAATGTGGATGACCATCATAACCAGCAAGTAGCAAGAACATTAAAACGGTTAGGGCTGTCAAACACTGTTTAAAGCTACACTTTGTAAGTTCTGGGGATTTGGAGACCTCACTGGTGGAAATTTGTAATTGCATGCAAAGTGCAAAGTTTGTAATGTGGGTTGCGCTTCGGACCCCTTCCCCGAGTGGATGAATCTGATCGTTGTAGTAGTATTCAAACAGAACTCAGTCAAAACTTGGTGAAGGACGTGACTTTTGAGGATGTAAGTGAATTATCTACTGCTGTCATCATATCGTAATAAGTGTAATGTTAATTTTGCATTTGAGACCTGAACATCAAAGCCGAGCCTGGGCGTGAGACGTTAATGCGTAAAGATGTGTGCTGTGGTCTGAAAAACTCTTGCGAAATTCGTTCCAATGCCTCTGACTTCTGAATTATTGCTCGCAGCAGCGCGCACATACATCATATTTTCACTTGTTTTTTTTCTCTTGACTTAATAACACTACTTCTTTCAATTTTAACCACAAAGTCCGCAGCTTTAGAGTGCATTTTGTTGTAGCTATCTAAGTGGACAAAATAAGCTTAATCAGAATGTATTTTTTACTTTCAGTAATACAATAACATTGTTTTTATTGACAAGCTAGAAAAATGTGTTAACAAATTTAACAGATTAAAAAGTTAAAAACATTTTAAAACTAACACCAGTGGAAACAATATATGCTAACTTATATTTTTGCGGCATTAAGATATTTTTTTCTGTAGCATGAAGTCTAATGACACGTGTCAGGTTGGCGAATTTAGCGGAAGCAGAAGCAGCAGGAGTTCGGCTGCAGCTGGGCCGTCTGAAACACAGACAGACAGCTTTAATGAGGCAGAATTGAAACACTGGAACTTTACCTGATCACAGGCGTGAAGAGGCTGTGGAGCCTGCAGAACAGCCTAACACCCTGAGGAAGAGAGAGAGAGAGAGAGAGAGAGAGAGAGAGGGAGAGAGAGAGACTTTGACTTTTAACCCACTTTTATTGAAGTATTATTAATTAAAATATTTTACATCCTATAGTAAAGAGCTAATAGTTATATTAATAATAATGAGGATCCCCAAAGAAAAATCACCCGTTCACAAAGATTCACCAATGAAATGATATCACACCCAGATCACTGACAGATACAATACTTTCACCAGCACACCACTTTTTCTCAAAACAGCAAACGTTATTTGCTTTGGGAGAGAGAGAGAGAGAGAGATGGAGGGAGAGAGACAGATGGAGGGAGAGAGAGAGAGAGAGAGAGAGAGAGAGAGAAAGTTAAATTGTGATTGTATTAGCCATCCTCTAGCTCTGCAGCAGTGGTCAGTTTCTGACTAAAGAGCTGCTCTTGGCTGGGTACTTCTGAGTGCTGGACCACTGTCAGCCTAGCATTGGCACTGACATAAAACCATATAGGCACTCTCTGTAGCTATATAATTACTGATTCTAGCCCATCTGCTGCTGCACAGTCTATCAATGGAAAGGGACAAAAAATAAAGTGGCCAGTAAATGGACATTGGTCTGGCGCAGTGACAGGTGTGAACATATCGCCCCTCTTTAGCTGGCTGCATGTGGTTTTATGAATGTGTTGCCTGAGAAATCGAACCCAGTCAATATTTATGTGATTAATGCCTTTATTTTTTGAATAATGAGAAAGTCAATGTAGGATGCATCATTAAACTAATACTTTCCAAAATGTTAAACTTGGAGAGATTTAGATTTGGGCAAAATCTCTCCAATTTGGAGGTAAAACAGTTGCGTTTAAATACTGTTGTTAGCAAAATTTGGCCACTCCGGTTCAAATTAAGCATTTTGTTGAGTTTGGAAGGGAAAAGAAGTTCGCATCTCCTCTACAGTGAACACACTTCTGAACATTTTAATGCACTGTTACTGACTTGTTACTTATCTGCTGAATTTAACACACTGAGAGGAAGTTATGGCACATTTTTATATTTTATGCTTTACTTTTTTCCAATAAATGACGAGCACGGAAATTTGCAGAAAATGCCTTATTTAAGTCCATTCCATCTAGAGAACGTGTTAACTTAATTTCACTAAGAAATTCAATAAAACCTAATTTAATCGGGTATTTTGCATAACGTTGTGAGCACACAATCCCTCTGTCACATGTCCCTCTGGCTCCAACTCACACAAGAACTCCACTTACCAGAATCCAGTGGGAGGTCATGTGACTGTTGGACTTCCACAATCCACCAATCACCATTCACAATCACCTGAATACTGATCTGTTGCACCTGCTCTGTTTGTCAGGTGACCAGTCTTAGTCTAGTTTAAAAGCCTGGGCTTTAGGTTAGTTACTTCGTGAGGTGCTGCTTCTCCTAGCAGAGCTACTGAGCGTTTCCTTATTGTTGTTTTGCCTTCTTGTGTATTTGACCTTGTTTCTGGATTCTACTACCCTTTTTGGATCTGGCTGCCTTTGTTATGTTTGTCCTTCTTTTTTGGATTTGACCTATGTCTGTTTACCGACTACAATTCTTGTCAAAACCTTTACAAGTAAAGTCTCATTGTTTTTAACTGTGAGCGCCTGGCTGGTTCTGTCATGTTACACCCTCCAAGTTCCATGGGAGCCTCTGAAAAATGTAAGTTTAATACACTGAGCTGCACCACCTGCCCCCTGATTGGGTAGACTCATTGCATTACCTGGAATGATTTGTAAGTTCAGCTCTGCTAAACTGAAAATGAATAGAATGCACTGTGGACCATTAAAAGTAAGTGTCAAAATTATTCCACTGTCAGTGTTACTGCTGTGCTGAGAGTGATTCACCCACCAAGTAACATCTGGACAACAGTTGCCCTGTGATCAGAAATTGACCAATGATAAAAAATTGTAGTGTGCAAGAAAGCCAATAGGCACTTCAAAACAGAGGACGGATGGGGCCTGTTTTAGTTACCTTGGAGATGACGTCCTGCATATCGCTGCGAGGATGGTACGTGCCGTCGTCAAAACGGAAGCGATACAGCACCGGCTCTGGCTTGAACTGGTGCTTATCTGTGACTGCGGAGACAGGAAGAGCCGGAGCACAAGAGGATTGGCATCGAATGAAGCCAACAGGAAATAAGTCATTTTACCAGTATGTAAAAATGTCTAAATCGCCAGAAAAATGCAGAAAAGGTAATAATAGTTGCTTTATGAGCAAATGCAGTAGGAATAAATTAGGTTAGATAAATTGGGTGAGAAAAGAAGCCAACAGCTTTTTTCCATTCTAGAGAAACTAAAGGAGTCAGAACTGCTCACAGTGGTAGTGACAGGAACCAGACATTGAAAGAATTTAATGCCCTTAAAAACTTCCTCACAGAAAGCTACTCATGAAATGGTTAGAAAATATGTTACCCATTGTCTAAGACCTTGTTTTATGATTTCAGATGTTGGCCTAAAATTTATTTTTAAAATCCATTCTTGTTGGAGGCGTAAATGCAGAGTGCTGTAAGACAAAATAGTCCACAAAGAAAACTTTTTTTCCCCCTAGATTTACCACTATTTTAACATCAACATTAAATATAAACACTTACAGAACACAGATTCACTGGTGGTTTTGGATAGTAATTATACTGGCTATACTTGTGTTATAGACACTGCGACCTCTGGTTCCCATCACCACCACTGTAAAGAATTAAAAAAAAACCTGTCCCACGTTTTCATGTCACTCCTGAAACACAGTTTTAGTCCATAGGCAGGCGGAGCCTAACTTTAGCCACATCCCAGCATTTTAGAGCAGGAAGTGTGACCGCATCCCTGGCCCTCATGGCCACATGGTGAGCAGTTAGATCCCATTGTTTTGAAGTAAATGTGTCCCAAAGTCTGAATGTCAGTGTGTAACATTAAGAACTATTACTACTGACTTTTCTGCAATTAAGTGAACCTTTTTGTGTCTACACGATGAAGAGAGTGTGACTTGTGTTTGCTAGTCATGAACTATCTCTTTGATTTTTCCCGATTCTCCCCTCAATTTGGTCGTCTCCAATCCCACCCACTAGTTAGGACTCCCCCAATCACACAATACTACCAGCGCTAGGAGGGTGATGGCTAACACAGGCTTCCTCCGAGACACGTGAAGCCAGCAGCCGCATCTTTCCGCATCTTTCGCCATCCTGCGCTCCCAGAGAGAGCGAGGCCAATTGTGCTCTCTTGGACTCCTGGCCATGGATGGCTGTAGCATCAACAGGTGGTTAGCATTTCTGAATTCTGCTCCAAATTAGCTAAACTTGTCCAGACTGAAACAGTCACTACTAAAACATTTGGTAAAATGTTGGTAGTGTTAAGAATGTTTTGGTAGTGACAAAATGACATGGTCAATCATTATATTAATAAAATAAAAATAATAAAGGTATAGGATCACTCAATGCAAAAGGATTTTCGTGTACAGCTCAAAGTATAAACTCTATAGATAATATTATAACAGATTGTGTCAGAAACTATGTAGTTACATCTATTAGAGATGACTTACCAACTCCACATGGTTTAAGCAGGAGTGTGACATTTTAGGCCTGCATGTAGTTAGCACAGTTCTACTTAGTGGGGTATAAGCTTGTATTGCTTAGCTACATTAACCTCATAGCTTCAGTGTAAGACTAAAGAAGCAAACTTCAGACACCAAACATGTCTTGGCTGACTGACTACATGCGTGTAAATGTGAAAATAGCATAAGTTAGATTTTTCTGGAAATTATTCCTTTGATAAAAACATAACACCTCGTTTAGAAACCCGTCTTTTACGACTCGTAAAGAAGACCTCCAGACAGCACAGATGCAGCGAACGCCTCCAGCGAGGAGCTGTTTAATAGAGCCCAGTGGCTTTTAGCTCTGTGTAGCCCCATATGCAAGTTCTATTAACATGCTTATGAAAACTAATCCCACAGTTTTTCACTCAGCAGATTCAGCCTTCCTCTGTGAACACTCACTGAGACAAACTGTTATTCTGCACCGAGCTGAGTGAGCGCACAGGGAGAAAATTCATTTCTCTGTTAGGAAGCTGCAAAAGCGGGAAGTGATTTAGTAAGAAGTTTTGGCCCTGGGCCAGTCAGCCTATTTTTGAGGGGGGACAAATGAGTGTGAATACATTTAACAGAGATTGACCAGGCTGCCCACACACATGACAAAGTAATTAAAGGCCTCAGGGTAGCTTTTTCCCCCTAATATTAAATAACGAAAGGGTGTGAAGAGAACATTTATTTCTGCTTTAAGTAAACAGAAAATTCAGACCTGCTATTGACGTCACCAAAATCATAACAGTGCTATTTTGTCAGGCTAAAATTTATCAAGTCTGAAGCTGGACAAACTATGAACAACGATTTGATACCTAATGATTTATGTATACACAGTCATATGCAAATGTTTGGGCACCCCTAGAAAAATGACATTTCGGTGATTTTCTACATTGAAATAAGTTAACACATCCTCTACTGAGAACATACTTCTGCACATTTTAATGCACATTTATAATTTTATAGTTTTACATGAAATGTGCCCCAAAAGTTATGGCACATTTTATGTTTATGTATCTTTTTTTCCAATATGTTACACAAATGTAATTGTATATGTTCCAATTTGTCAACAAATAAATCGAAACTGTGCACTAAAATCTGCAGGGAAAAATTGCATGTTCAAGTAGCAAGTAGAGGATGTGTTAACTTATTTTCATCTTATTTAATCTACACGCAATTTGACCTGAGGTGTTCAAAAGTATACATACTCCCTGGCCACTTTATTAGAATTTATTATTAGTGGAGCTCCATCTATTGATGCACAGTTTGCACTAGCCATCCTCTACCAACTGAAAAGAACGAGATAAAATCCAGTACTTCTTTCCAGTACTTTATTAGAAAGAAACAAGTCAATTACAGTAAACATCATTTGTCTTTCCTTATTGTCTGCAATGTCATAGAACAGGGTCATGTCTCTTGTATGTGCAGGTCAGCAATAGCTGCAGAGAAAGCTAGAAAAATTGACAAGGTTGTACCCATTACAGTGAGGTATTCACACCACTGTAATGTGTTACCTTGGACCACATTACACCCAGTATTACTGGGTATAATACACTCATATCAGTGCCACATACACTAACTTGTCAGTGTCACTGCTGAGAATGGATCAGAACTGACCAACGATGAATGAGTTAGAGGGGGCAGATAAATTGCACATCAACAGATACAGTCTATAATTGTACACCTATATTGTGGACCTATAAGGTAGGTGGAGCTCATAAAGTGGCCACTGAGTGGAAGGACAAGGTCGCTGTTTAATAAAGTGGAGGTGAATGTAATTGCTGAAATAGGTAGGTGTAAAGAGGAAACTACATTAGAGTAATGATAAGAGATATTGAAGGCCAGAGCTAAGGAACTGACCGTGGTGAATGATGCCGTTCTCCAGCAGAGCCTGACCCAGGTGAACTCCTTCTTCTGGGTTATCAGTCTCTCCGATCTCCATCAGCCAGGCCACAAACTCACTGTGAACAAACACCAGATAGACTATGAAGACACCAGGGCTGGCCGATATATCGACTGGCAAGTAGACATTGAGTAGGGTTTCACTGATATTTTATAGCCAATTATAACTTCTTTACATCTAAAATGGTCATTTTTTGGCTGTTTTTTGTCAGTTGACATTTATTATGGAGTCTCTGCTGCACTCTGTTAACACTGTGTACTGTAATCAGTCTCTCTTAACAGAACTGTAGCTGTTGCTTCATCTGCCTTAATTGGGTGCCCACTGCTCGCCCATCTTCTGGACCACTTTGACCACTACAGAGCTTCCTGCTGTACAACGCTATGCAAACCTCACCTGCACGAACTGACCATCCTGATGATACTGCTGCTGCACAGACTCAAACTATTTAATCGTAGCCATTGCTTTTTTATTATTAAATATTTTATACTAAAATATTATTATTATAAAACCTTATTCTCTGCTCATACTGATCATGTTATTGTATTTCCATCTGATGTCGACCAGAGGAGGATGGGTTCCCCTTTTGAGTCTTGGTTTCTCTCAAGGTTTCTTCCTTTTGCTTATGCTTGCTCTTGCAGGCTTGGACCCAGATTTTTCTGTGAAGCTGCTTTGTGACGACGCCTGTTGTAAAAAGCGCTACACAAATAAACTTTGACTTAACTTGACTTTTGCTAGTCAGCATTCAATGGTAGCATATTGCTGTTGTCAGAATAAATCATCATATCTCCAAAATGATAACTTTACAGGAGAAAGAAAAAACATACTTTACTTTTAGTGTTAGTCAATGGGACCAGACTTTTTACGAGTAATTTTGGCTGTTTCTTTGGGTGCATTCATCATGAACTTTATGCACAATGTAAGGGGCAACAAGCACTTTCAAATTATGTCAAAAACTGAAAAATGACAAAATTGGAGATACGAGGTTTTGTTCCAACAGCAGTGATATATGTACTTAGCTGATTCATGCAATCTATCATAACATCATGAAATTCCAACACATATCAGCCAAAATAAACTAAATCAGCTGCCTGCCAAACGTGTCAGGAACACTAATAATAACAATTTTATTTATAGGGCACCCTTCATATCTGTGGCAGCTCAAAGTGCTTAACAACGAAACGCTGTTTAAATATAAAGGCATAAACACATCTGATAATTGCATATGATAAAATATAATTAAGTAAAATAACTTGAAAGATTAAGGGAACAGGTCATTAAAATTGTTATGTGTAGCATTTTAAAAGTGCTATCTGAGTTTGACTGGCTTATTGTGAAAGGTTGCGAAACACACTCAACAGTTTAAAAGCATAATATCAAAAGGAGGCCTCTGTAATTTACAGAGGGGATTTGCAGACGGCCAGTTTCTACAGATCTATGATCATGTGTTGGGACTTAGACAGACATTCAGTGATGTACGCAGGTACTTTAAGGCCATTTATTGCTTTAAGAGTAAAAAAGGTAAAAGAACTTTAAAATCTATTCTGAAAGATAACAGTACAGTTCTTTCAAAACAGGTGACGTGCGCTCTCTTTCTTGTTTGTTGGGTGCACCGGCATAGCTGTAGGTTATGTATTGTTTTCTTTGGAAGCCTGACTCACCTGGCTCGGATTTTGAACCCATAACACTGTGAGAGTTCAAGACTGGCAACGAGTGAATGCTATTTACTTGTTTCAAGATTAAGTTATATGGCTATTTATAATTAAGCTATTATTCTATTTGCTGATATTGTCAGTTATCAGAATGTTTAGCTCCTTAAAACCGACATCAGCATCAGTGACATAAACATTTAGCCTTCCACCAGCATTTACTGACGAGACACATGATATAGAGTGGAACCAGCACCCTTTTCAGATAACACAGTCCTTCGGGGGTAGTCAAGCATAATCCAATAAAGCTTTTGAAACACACTGCAGGGGATACACACACAGCCAATAAACAGCAGATGCCTACAGCATCGCACTGCAGAGAGGTAGCCAAGCTGCCTCTCCTAATGATACTTTAATGCGGGTTTAAAAACTCAATACTACTCATCAAAACGAGCAGGGGAAACGAACATTGCATTAAAACAAGTGCAATGTTCTCTCTCTCCAGCCAGGAGGAGATGTAACTATAATTCTGCACTGCTGCAAGGGAAAAAGCAGTGGCTAAAGAAGGATATATTACACCATCCTCACCTAACCCCCTCTTTCCTCCACTCGACTGCAGACAAAACCAAAACAAATATGACCAGCTAGCAGGACTGGCCTGGGGTTGGAGTTTGAGCTTGTTGAGCCCAGAGGCAATGCTAATCACCCCAGCCAAACTAAACACACCTCTTACCCTGTCTGTGGTGTAAGTGAATGCTGAAGGACATAATTTAAACTGCTACTATCTATCTGGGGACAGAACAACACAACAAATGTTCAGAAGGCTCTCATAGCTTTTGGACTGGCAGGCCACATATGAAACACCAACATATTTAAGCTGTTACGCTTAAAAGTGGAAGGCGTCTTGAATGCCCAATACACTGTAAACATGTAGGTTGCCTCAAATATGCAATAGGATGTACTCACAGAACTTAAAGGCCATATTTCAAGGAAAACTGAATTTTCCTCCCATTTTTTTAAAATAATCTCTCCCTGCTAAAAGTTAGATCTGCCCCAGTCAACTGTAAGTGCTATTATTGTGAAATGGAAGTGCCTAGAAGCAACAAAAGATCAGCCATGAAGCATTAGACCACACAAACTCACAGAGTGGGGCCACCAAGTGCTGGAGTGTGTAGTGAGTTAACATTGCCTGTTAATCTAACATCTTCTGTTACATCGCTCTCTACAGAGTTTTAAACTGCCTCTAGAGGCAACATAAGCACAAAAACTGTGCATCACAAACTTCATGAAATGAGCTTCAATGGCCAAGCAGGTGCATACAACCCTAAGATCACTATGTGCAATGCCAAGTGTCGAATGGAGTGGTGCAAAGCACCCCGCCATTGGAGCAGTGAAAATGTGTTCTCTGCAGTGATGAATCACGCTTCACTATCTGGAGGTCTGATGGACAAACCTGGGTTAGGCAGATGCCAGGAAAAAACTACCTACCAGAATGCATAGTGCCAACAGTAAAGTTTGGTGGAGGAGGGATAATGGGCTGGGGCTGTTTTTCAGGGTTTGGGCCTCGTAGTTCCAGTGAAGGGTAATGTTAATGCTACAGCTTACAAAGACGTTTCATTTAGACAATGATATGCTTCCAACTTTGTGGCAACAGTGTGGGAAAGACCCTTTCCTGTTCCACCGTGACTGTGGGCCTGTGCAAAAAGCGAGGCCCCTAAAGGCATATTATTGTCTATGGTTTTAGAATAGGAGGTCCAACAAGTTCATATAGGTGTGGTCAGGTGTCGTATAGTGTAGCTCATAATTATTTGGATTATATTCACAATAAATTTCAATGTAATGTCACATGTTCAGGCAGGAAGGTAAATCAGAAACTTAATGCCACAGAATACAAAGATAGCTCTCTGAAGTAAATGGTAAGGACCCTATTAATGCCACAGTAGGAACCATTGCTTTCTTTTACACCCCAGATTCAGTTTCATATATAATAAACAGATAAATACCAAGACTGTTTGTACTTTAATTGTGTACAATCCTTCCATGTCATGTAACTACCTGGTACTTTTTAGCCAAGAAAATTATCCAGTACTTTAGAGTTTTGTACTTGACACTTACCTGGTTAATCCCTGAAACTTAAGGCGCTGTAAAAGAAAGCATTTCAATTTGATTTTCTTTTGTTCCTCCATTGTTTTCAGCACAAAGACAGCTTAAACCCTGACATACTTCACTTTGCAACATTGCCCTTAACAAAAAATGTCCTACCTAACTTTATCTAAAGTTACCACACCTCCCATTCAACTGTAACTTTGTATCCAGAATGTTCTTAATTATTTTGCATTTTGCTAAGCTCTCAAAGCCCACAAAGACACTGTCTACAGCTATAAAGTTCATGACTTAAAAATAGCCCTCCACTTCAAAGGTTCCGAGCGTGAGGAGTAAAGACAGGAACTCTACAATGAGGAAAAGCAGCGGCTCAGAGCCAAAAGCAACCTGCTTTTAATCTGAAGGACATCGGGTTAGAGTGCAATCTCCAAAAACACATAACAACACCACTGGCCGAGGGTGACAGTTAAAGAGAGGGTTTGGCCAAATATCCAATGAACACAATTTGTCCCCTACTGAAGTTGGAGGTCAATCAGCTAAGACATATTTACTGTCCAAAGTTTGCTTCTTTAGTTTTGCACAGAAGACTAATGTAGCTAGCAAGTGATGAAAGCCAGTATCATGTCAGCATTGTGCAAACTGTACGCAGAAATCATCATATCGTTGTTGTCGGAACAAAACCTTGTATCTCCAAAAGGATAACTTTACAGGAGAAGGAAAACACACACTTTACTTTTAATGTAAGTCAATGGAACCAGACTTTTTTCCAAGTCATTTGGGGCCGTTTCTTTCTGTCCATTCTTCATTAAATTTACAGACAATATAAAAGGCAACAATATTTCCAAATTATGTCAAAAACTGAAAAACGACAAAAATGGGGATATATTTGCTTCAAATCATGTCAAGTTGTTCAGTAATCATAAACAGACTTGCTTATGTGGTTTCTGACACTGTATAACATACGGTTATCTATGGAATTCAATAGACGATCTACTCATTAGCTATGCAACATCCTTTCGTCCATTACGATCTCCAGTGTAAAGCTAAAGAAGTAAACTTTCAGAAACCAACCATGTCCTGGATAACCTCATCTGGGTTAAGTTAGAAATTGTGTAAATTACATTTTTGGCCAGACCATCAGTTTAAAAAAGAGAAACTATATGGACAATTGGCATCAGCTAAAGCTTCGTCTAGACAGCGATGTTTGCTCAGGTTTTTGTGTCACATGGTACAGCGCTCTCTCTGGCCTTCTCCAGACGCTCCAGACCAATTTCTTCATTGTCTGCAGACACCAAAGGAGAAAGAGTTA